GCTGCTGGGGACGGGAGGCGGCCGGCCAGCAGAAGCGGCGGCAGAGCCCTGTGCCGCTCGGGACTGACCGGTGCAGGCTCGTCCCGTCCCAAGCGGCACATGGCTCCGCCGCGGCTTCTGCTGGCTACTGCAGACCCGGCTGGGCTGCTCCCATCCCTGGCAGCACATGAGAAGTGGCCCCCTTGGGGCCTCGCGCACGGGCGGCCGCACCCGGAGAGCCGCAGCACCCGGGGGGAGACTGGCTGGGGGAGCAGGCACCGCCTTGCTGCGGGGCGGGGCGGGCTTGAAGCGGGCAGTGAGGAGGCAGGCGCAGGCTGGCAGTGCCAGCGGCCACTCCGGCTTTGCAGCGCAGCGCAGGGACACTGGCAACTGCGTGCCCCGCAGCCCGGGCCCGGCCCAGCCCCGACGCGCCTCCAGCTCCGCGCGGGAACTTACCTCGTGCCTCTGTCCACCGTGCATGCGGGAACTTACCTCGTGCCTCTCTCCACCGTGCATGCGGGCAGGGCGTGGGCCGCGCGCCGGGGTGAGGGGCGGAGCCAGAGAAGAAGTTGCACGTGCTGTCCCCAGCTCGCCTAATCAGGCGCGGCTGGGGCAGCCCCCGGGGCGGCGGCGGCGGCGGCGGCGGCAAAACCCGCCTCACTGATGAGCGCAGCCCCGTGGGGCTAAGCAGCTCTGCCCACCTTACCTCGCTGCTGCCGTGGAGCATGGAGCAGGTGCCTCGGGCCAGATAAAATGGCTTGGCGGGTTGCATGGGAGCCCGTGGGCCGTATGTTGGACAAGCCTGGTATAGATCTTCACCTGGAGTCCCTAACACTGATCAGCCACTAGGGGTGATGTGAAGACGTAGCAGCCACAGGAATCAGTGGATTCTGGCCACAGTATGCAACATGCCTGTGACCTAGGAGCAGTACTGTAGCAAGGGAGGGTGAGCGGGATGACCGCCGCGGGTACCAAAGTGAAGGGGTGCCAACGGGCACTGTCATAGAATCATAGCAGTCGGGTCGGAAGGGACCTTGTAGATCTTCAGGTCCGACCCCCTGCCTGGGCGGGAGAAAAGACTGGACTCAAATGAGTCCAGCCAGGTAGTCATCAAGCCTCTTCTTAAAGACCCCCAGGGTAGGGGCCAGCACCACTTCCCTAGGAAGTTGGTTCCAGCTCCTAGCCGCCCTAACTGT